AGTATCATCTGTAGCATTGAGGTTCATATTAGTGAGCATGCCTGGAATCACTTTGATCCTATTTAGAGACTTAATATTTGCTGGTAATGTTGACACTTCGTTTTGGCAGCTGGAATCTGGTAAAAATTTCCATTTACTTTCATCATTACAGAAAAATTTTCTAGTTTTATTTTTTTCTTGCTACGAACAATAATCTAATGTAGTTGCAAAAATTGTTTCATTTTTTCCCATTGCATTGTTATCGTAAAAGTGGAACAATGTACTCCATTCACTCGGCTTCTTGCTTTGTTGGAAATATCGTATGAAGCAGTTAATCGAGACAAGGTCATGATGCTGGCTTGTGATGAAAGCATATATAGCACCTCCATGAACAGTAGCATTATTTTCTGTAAAATTAAATATTGAATCTTCGCCAACTATTATAGCTGCACTTCCAATTAATGCTATCCCACCTCCATTACCACCAGAGTTCCTATAAAATAGTGCAGTGCTGTTATTAGCGAAATTCAGTTCAGCATTGACAGCATATATAGCAGTTGAGTTGTTGTTATTGAAAATGCTGTCACCTTTGAATGCCACAGACACAGAGTCAGTATATAAAGTACCAATGACTGAATCTGGAGCCTGCACTGTAAATGCTGTATTAATGTCAGTTTCTACTAGAATAGAGCGAGAATTTTTAGAAAAATTACAGTTTTCAAATTGTGGTTGCAATGAATATCCTTTGCTATCAGTGAGCCATGCAACCATTGCTACAGCACTACCAGTATAAGCTGCATTGTCACTCCAGGAGCAATCTTTTACTGACAACTGGTTTGTTGCATTCTGTGTTTTTGTTGTATGAAGAGAAAATCCTCCACCCGTTTTTGCTATGTTACTTTTGAAGAGTGTGTTCTCGAAATTGATAATGTTTCCTTTTGATTTTAGAAAAATACTAATGCCACCACCACCTCCATGAAGAGCATTATTGCCAATAAAATTAGTATTTGCAATCCTAATTGTATTTTGGGCAGATAAGTCTGATTCTATAGAAATGAATAATCCTCCACCATAGAGAGCTCTGTTTCCCTTAAATAGACAGTTGTCGATAAAGAGACTACCTCCAATACCATTACTAATCAAAACATACAGACCACCTCCTCTGCCACGATGGAGATCAGATGTGGGATCGTTCATTTCCGTGATATCGTTTTCATCAAAGTCAGCCATGTTATTGGTAAAATTAGAATTTTCAATTGTCCATTCATAATAATACATGCAGTTTGCTGCCTGTTCATCTGGACATACAATTTCAATACCCACTCCTCCTCCCATTTTGCCAGGATATGGTTCATTATTAATGAAATTTGAATCACTAATGGAATTCTTACCAAGAAACAATGACGTCATTGACCTGGATACAATTGCTGACCCTGTACTGTTCATTACTGTAACAGATTTGATCATGATGTCCTTACAGTTCATAAAGTACATTGATATGTTTAACGTGATGTTTTGTGACTCTCGAATCAATGTATGTTCAACTGAACAGCCAGTAAAAATCACATTTATTATTTGAATTTCACTTGAGTTAATGAAGGTCAGGCCCGATTGATATTGGCAGTCAACAACTGGAGGTGCTTCATCTTCTGACATGCTTGTAATTACTATAATTGTTACTTCTTGAAACAGGCCATTGGATGCTAGCTCATGCACACCATCCGGTTGAAGTAGGAATATAATATGATTATTACCAGGTGACTGAAAGTCTTCTAATGCTTGTGTGAGATTAGAATACTTTCTGTCACATGATGTATCATGATTATCAATGCTTTCATCATAGTACACACAGATGTTGATTGCATGAATATTTGTGATAAATAGGAGGAGGAGGAGGAATCTCAGCCACATTATGTAAACCGTCAAGGTATACTGAAACCTGTAGAAAAAAGGGGCGTAGATATACGTGAACAGTATGCACTAAATAACAGTAGATTTCGAGGTAGATTTATAATTCTAAATTTATAGTTCATGAAATATGTATATATATATTTTTATCTAGATCCAAGTTAGATCTACAATAATTATTAGTCTAGGCTCTATAGGTGTAGCCTATGTATGAATGATATGTAATATTTATATTACTAAGCTTACCTTTAAAAACTCTAATATGCACCACAACTATATAGTCAAGAGTTGACTCAACTCCAACAAAATGCAAGTCAAATCTATCTGCTGCAAGCTGGCTAGTTAGTTAACTATTACATCTAAACAGCTAATTAAGTTAACTAGATCTAGCAAAAATGGCGGCTCATGGTGGCCCAGCAGTTGACCTCAGAGATGATAAAACTGTTCGCTCAATTTTTTTTCAGATGCTTGTTGATTGGAATGGCTCAGACCTTAAAGATATATACGAGCCACTTTCTGATCAAGTGGGTTACTTTATTACTGCATTCATAATCATAGTGGCAATTGGTGGCTGTTATGGGTTGTATCGTAAATGGCAGAGAAAGAAGAGGGAGAAACCAATCCCATATAAGGTCATAAAACCACCTCAGTACTTAACGAAAGAGGATGGAGATACAAAGAGGGTTGTAGCTGTATTTGGGGCTACTGGTTTTGTTGGATCTCACGTTGCGGAGACACTAATAAGAACTGGAGAGTACCATGTACATCTACTAGGACGCCGTTTTAGCCCAAGCAAGATCCTACCCGGAGCTGATGCAGTTTTTCAAGTTGATATGATGGACTATGATGGTCTAGTTAATGCCCTTCAAGGAGTAGATTCAGTAGTCAATGCCAGTGTTGCTACTCCTACTGTATTCACAAGTGATGATGATCTATGGAGGATTAATGTGACTGGCGGAGAGAACATCTTGGAAGCTGCAAAAGCTGCAGGTGTACAGAACTTTGTACTCATTGGCGGGCTGGATCCCGACTATGTCGTTTCCAGCAATATTAAAGTG